CTTGTAAGGGACAAAATGGAACTGGAGAGGGTTTTGCGAGTGGGTACAAGGTTAGTGCAAGGATTACGGGGGCAAACGTATCCCGAACGTTTGCTTAGCTTGGGTATGTACTCAATGCACTACCGCAGAATTAGAGGAGACTTGATTCTCACTTACCGTATCTTAACGGGTAAGATCGGTCCAGACCTGTCCTGGCTATTTGGTCCCGCCAAGCTGCCTAGTCTCCGAGGTCACCCGTTGAAGCTGCACAAACAGCGTTCTGACCGGGTAAGGACGGAAACTCGCTTGCCGCGTCGAGTTATTGAACGTTGGAACTCGCTTCCGACGCACGTGGTTAGAGAGTACGGTAGAGGGTTTCGAGCGTCAGTTAGATGCTCTTGGGTGGCAGTACCAAACCTTCCCCTTCTCCTAACCGACCTGTATCTTCAACTTTCCCTTCGTTCTTTTTTAATTTCCTTCTCACCTTGGTATTATCATTATTTAGCTGACATTCCTCCTCTTGTTTTCTTAGCTTACCCTCCACTCTTTTGCTTCACATAAACCGGCCTGGCAGGAACTGCTGGGCAGGAAAATGTGTGCAGTAATTGGTTGGACAGGGTGTGATGCGGTCTTTGTTTTAGGCTTTTCAACATTTCAAGCAGACCTGTCAATTCCCGATCCGACGATACGCAAAAGAAGGAACATTCACGGGATTATCCTATCATTTCGGTCCCAACTGAACTTGAACTTGAATTCTTACCTGTTGTGTAAACTCGGATCTTTTTGCTTCTTGTGTCAATGCAGCGGTTCCATTGGTACCGACTTGCTGTGTCCACCTTGATCCCTGTGACGAACGGGAGTCGATGGAGCTGACAAAGGATTTTTCCTTCTGCTCTCTACATTCCAGTAATCCAATGAATGATCCAAGGATATGGAACGTTGACTTCAAAAGGATGTAATTGCATTTGGATAGCATATACTATATATATACGTACTATATGCACTATATATATATACCACTATAATATTCAAGTGAGTATTTTGTAGCAAACGCGTCACCTTCCGCTCAAAAGCCGTTCAATGCGCTCTGTGCGAAGGGTGGCTGCACACTTGGTGCTGTAACATCGATGAAACCCTATATGAATACCTTCAACGCACTGCCACTATGGTCGTGAGCTCCTATTGACTCATGTCGAGTAATAGTGAATGGCAAACGCCTTCTGGCGAACCATCGTTTTCTCAATATATCAGGATCGTAGAGAGCAAGAGAAATCCTTTGTCAGCCCCATCGCTTCCCGATCACTGTGTGGAGGCCGCGATTCGATGTTAAGCGGTACTCCACAAGGGACCGTGACAGCTACAGTGGAAGCAGCAAGGGCCCATCTTACTCAAAAGATAAGAATCTAACATTCGCTTGAAACATTCTTCAGTCTGGGCATCGACCACATGCTTCACTAACTCCTTCCAATCGTTGACTACGCGAGTGATTGAGCGAGAGCAGGATGAACCCGGAGCCTTCTGGGTTTAACCAGTTTCCAGTTGTGGCCTCGAGTTGAACTGTTTGCATTGAATTGAAAGCACGCCTGCAGCTCCGCCCCTTCTCCGCCGCTCCTCTCAGGATGTGCCTGGTGAAAATCAGGTCACCACAACGTCGGCGGTAACCCAGGGAGAACAGGTTCATCCGCTGAAGTCTCAGGGGATAAGGCAAGTCCCGTACCTCCAAGATGTATTTCGATCCCCGCCGTTGGACCTCAGTGAGGTCATATTCGAACTTGGTAAGAGGGAAGACGGCAGGTAATCCGTATTCGAGAATGAGGCGGATATGGGAAGTATCCAACAGTCTGAAGATATCCGGTATCAGACGTGAGAAGGTTTTTCGTATGGCATGGGACATCCTGTTGGCAGCAGCAACCTTTCGTAACGTGTCCTGTGTACTCCGTAGATCAGATGACGCCAACACGCCGAAGTCTTTTTCAAGGATTGCAGTTCTGAGCAACGCCCCACCAATGTGGTACGTCCCGAAAGGCTCGGGAGCACCAATTAGGAGGACCGAGCACTTATCGCGATTTATGTGCAATCGCCATTTGACTGACCACTCATGTAACGTATCAAGTGTAGCCTGTAATCAGTCCGCATCGTCAAGGCAGGATATCTCCATCCACAACTTCAAGTCGTCAGCGTATACCAAGCAATCCAACTGAAGTTCCGCCGAGAGGTCATTGATGAAGATCTTGAAAAGTTCTGGGCCCAGGACCGATCCCTGTAGGACACCGCTAGTCATGAGCACAGGAGCGGAGTAAGTCTCGTTCACATCGACTCGCATTGCCCAGGTATCCAAAAAATCAGCGATCCAAGAGAGAACGTTCACAGAAACACCTACTCTTCGTAGTTTATAAAGGAGCCTTTCATGAGAAACCTTGTCAAAGGCCTTGCTGATGTCGTCAAAAATAACACTCAAACGTTTCCCAGCGTCTAATGATTTCGCCCATCTTTCACGGGCCACCAGCAGATTCGAAACAACTCCATCTTGAAATTTCTACCTTCAAATTTGGCTTGGAAGCGTGATCTAAAGAGACTGAGTGGGAAATCTTTACTCTGCTCCATCAAATATTGATCCGAGATATCTTGGATCTTCGTTAACCGCGTGAGTTCGTTCCAGTATTGCTTCTCTTTGTGTTCCTTTTGGTCGTGTTAATTCGCTGTGCTTATTGTTTTATTTAATATTGTATTTTCTATTGTATTAACTTGTTGTGACTATTTATTCATCTTACGCGGTCATACCTGCATCAATTTGGTCATTTAATCATACCAAATTACCTAGCTTTTTATTATTCTATACGTGGCTGTTACGTGCATTCGTAATGACAGCGGTGGCTGGCTATAAATGGGGTGTGCACACTTGTGGCCTTGAGGTCAGAGCGAATTCACTGCGACAGGTGCTTGTTATGGTACCATAACAATTGCTCTAGATTAGACCAGGACTCTATTAATCTTTATGCCCGACATCCAATTAAAGTGGATTTGCTTCCATTGCGTGTGCTTAGCAGACATTGGTTCACGCTTGATACACGATCGGACTTTTGATCCAGTTACTCATGTCTCAGCTGTGCATGATTCTGCTAGTAGAAACTGTGCATAGACCAGACATTGCGGAGAAGTTGATTCGTGACCAGAGCTTGCTAATTGAGACATTGCGTTCAAAAGTCGAAGAGTTGCAGTTTTCATTGGAATGTTACTTGCGAAGTGCAGAACTTGCTATGGGTAGACAACGGAACGTTCTTGTCTACAATAGGGAGGAGCCAGTCATACGGGAAGCTAAAACTCGACGGGACCTAGATAGAAGGCGAGTGCACGATATCCTTTGTATAGCCGGAATCCTGTTATACGTTGGTATCAGAAGAGTACATCGTGTTGACAGCTGGAGAGAAACAAGTATGCTCCACCAACAAGGTTATGCAAGGCATATCCTGGTTGAGTTTCGGAACCCTATACACCGGGACCTTTTACTTAACAGGGCTGGGTTGGTTGCAAGTCAGACAAGTGGTCGGTATCAAATAGCACCGGCTGAGCCGGTTAGAAGGTACTAATACCAGTTTGGCTAACGAATCTGCGTTCTCACACGCTGGAATTCATGATAGTGAGCCTCACGTTACGCAGACACCTAAGCAAAACTCTAGTGACTGCCCTCCTGTGGCAAGGGCAGTCAGCTGGTCTGGACAACCCCCTTCACAAGACGCCAGTGAGATAACTCGTGGCCTGCATTTGGTTGTGGAAAAACTTGCTCTTGATGGAAACGTGAATCACACCTCTATGGCGGAAGAGGATAGTGAAGATGTGGCGATGGAACTTCGGGCGGTGCGTTCAACAACTATCGAGGCGTCATGCTCGATAGTAGTAGCACCAAAGTCCATGGGTGGTATGCTGATTTCACAAAATGATAGGAAAATGAAATACTTGCCACACCTAAACTGGACCGTACAGAAACTCCGAAGTGCAGTCCTGTTAGGTCGACTCAGGTAAATGGGAGAAAACCCGTCGGGAGTTTATTCCGCAAGCCCAGACGGGCGAAGCCAGGAAAGGGGTTATCCCGTAATGCGTTACAGCGGCCCAACGTTGATTCATCGACTCAGGCAGCCGATGGAAATGAAATGGTACAAAAACGGGTTATCCCTTCGGGCTCTACGTCCGAGGGAAAACAACCGCGTCGGGAGAGACTAAGCGTGTGGTACACTAATTGCTGTAGTGTGCGTAACAAATGGGGGGAGTTAGTGACGCGTTGTGAGCATGTTGATGTGGCCGCTGTGTCGGAGTCCTGGCTTTCTCCAGATGACCTTATTGGTGATCTGCTCATAGACTTCGCGTGCTACAGGGCTGACGGGCCCGGGTATCAGACTGGTGGAGTACTCTTGCTTCTAAAGTGCCAATATGAACACTGGGAGACTCCATTTACCATGAGTTCTGCTAACGTTCAGGTGATATCCTGATATCTAAAAGCATGGGGTAGATTGGAGATTATAGTATGTGTTTATCGTAGCCCATCCTCCACGCGAGAAGAGGACAGGGATCTTGGTACGTTACTAAGACAGGCGGCAATGGCCGCACCTAATTTTCTGATCGTCGGTGACTTAAACCATCCCCATGCTGATTGGCAGCTTGCTGAAAACAGGGTGGGTACTCTAAAGAAGGCACTAGTAGATTGGATTCATGTACATGCGTTCGAGCAATACGTCAATGTTCCGACTACGAGTCGTACTGAGAGTACCCCTTCAACCCTTGATATCGTGATCGCCAGACATGATCACTTGATTGACCTATGCGTGGAGTCACTCATAGGTAAGCGTGATCATTGTGTTTTGACCTTTCCTCTGGATACACCGAGGCTTGCAGAGAACCGTCGAATGGAGAGGGGTTTAAATCGTATTGATTCTACGAAGCTGAGGGATCGAGCCCTTCAGATTACTTGGATCCCTGAACAGGACAAAACAACTTTGGAACAGAAGTGGCTTCTACTCCAAAGTAGACTTGTGCAGTTGCTGAACGAATTTGCTCCTCTACGCCTCAGGAGACATCTTGGGAAACCCCGATGGTGGAGGAGAAAAATTGAGAGAGCGATAAAGAGGCGCAATGCTGAGTGGAGAAAATATCAAGAAACTCGGGGCTTCTGACATTGGCTGCAATACAAAATGTGTCGAAACATGGCTATTAAGTTGCAGCGGCAGGCGAAGTACTCATATGAGCTTAGGTTGGCCAAATTTGCGAAAACAAATCCCGTGTTATTACAGTTATGTCCAATCAAAGGCTTCTCTAAGGGAGGTGATCGGCTGTCTAACCATGGAGGACGGTACCCAGGCTGTAGACGACGTTGATAATGTAGAAGCGCTGCATCGGAAGGATAGTGAGTCAGGCTTGCCATCACAACCGCACTGCTCAACTAGCTACACAGTGCGGGAGATTATTCTCAATGTGCCAGAGGTATTCACAGTGCTGGCCAGTTTGAACCCTTATAAATCAGCTGGTCCTGATAGTGTACATCCCGCCATAGTTAGGCCTCTGGCTGATATCCTTCAGTATCCTGTCGCGGAGTTATTCAACCAGTCTCTTCAAGAAGGCAAGCTGCCACGTGATTGGAAGGAGGCGACCATTGTTGCCATCCACAAGGGGGGTGCTAAGTCGGTGCCTCTTAACTATAAACCTGTTAGTTTGACCAGCATCATGCTGAAGTGCTTGGAAAAACTTATAAGGAACAGGATCTGTGAACACTTGACTGAGCACAATCTAATTAGAGCGGAACAACATGGCTTTCTTAAAAAGAAGTCTTGCCTTACCAATTTATTGTGCTTTTTAGACGAGATTACCCGATGTCTTGATAGTGCGATGTCGGTAGAGATGTGCTATTTGGACTTCAGTAAAGCCTTTGACTCAGTGAATCATCGATTTTTAATTGAGAAGCTGACATGATTTGGATTGCATCCTCAACTATTACTATGGCTCTCTGATTTCTTACGTGGAAGGACACTCAGAGTCAGGGTTGGGGAAGCGAGTTCTAGTGTTGGCCATGAAAAAATGAAAAATGAAATGTGTCAGCTTATACGCCGTAACGGCGCTTCGCTGCCGCGCGACCACCACCAGTCGCCCGCGGGCTGAGTATACCGCGAGGACGCCCACCCCTACGCGGATTCGAACCGGTGACCTTATGGTTGGAAAGCAAACGTGCCAACCACTCGGCCACCGGCCGACTAGTGTTGGCCATGCCTACAGTGGTGTCCCCCAAGGTTTGGTACTGGGTTCATTGTTGTTTCTTATGTTTATAAATGACCTGACTCCTCTTCTTGAGGATCCCTGCTATATCTTCGCAGATGACTTGAAGCTAGTCAGTAGAGGGAAACCGAGCGACATTGGCTAAGGACATCATCACTGTGGTGAATTGGTCGAGTCAATGGAATCTACGTCTAAATGCCAATAAATGTCAAATATTGACCAATAGTGGCAGCGGAATTGCAGTTCAGTCTCCTGCAGGATCTCTATAATAGCGGTATACTAATAAAGCCCGCGATCCAGGTGTCATCTTAGCGAACAATTTTAAGCCTTCTACACAGTGTCGCCATGCTGCCAATAAAGCGCGCCAAGAGTTATTTCATCTTAGGAGGGCGCTGAGTAACATTAAAGCAGAAGTATTCTTGCCGTTATATAAAGCAGTGGTTAGGCCATATCTGGAGTATTGTGTTCAGGCCTGGGCACCGTACCTTCGGAGTGACGTCATTTGTATAGAAAAGATTCAGAAACTTGCGACCAGGATGATCGAAGGTCAACGAGGGAAGTCGTATGAAGATCGTCTAAGTAGCTAGGGATTATTTTCCTTGGAACGGCGTAGATTGAGAGGGGATTTGATAGACAAATTTAAGATCATTAAGGGACTTAGTGGTATTAGTCCCACCCATCTGTTTGAGTTGGCTATGTCAGACCATCTGCGCGGGCATCGCCTGAAGCTCAAACATCATAAAGCTCGTTTGGACATCAGGGCAAAGTTTTTTACCAACCGAGTAGTTAACTTCTGGAATGAACTTTCTTCTGATTTAGTGGAATCTGAGACTGTAGAAGCCTTCAAAGGTGGCTTAGATGATTTTTGGTCTATCCTTTTCCAGGGATATTGTAGTTGTACTGGAATATGTAGGGTATTTTGATGCTGACACATGAAAGCGCAAAGATTGCTCTTGCTCTTGTTCTTGCTTCATTCCTTTGCACAAGCAAGAAGAGACAATCCAACGTCGAAGTTCCGCGAGCCGCTTCACCTACCGGCACAAGAACTGGACGCTCGTTAGGCGCAAGCCTCTATCGTCCGTTCTACCTGACCTGACCTGAACATGAGCGTGCCCGCCGAAAACCATGCTGCGCACAAGAGATCACATTTAGGTTCTCGAGGTGGAGAAGTGCCCGCTTGAGAATCCTCTCCATTACCTTGCACAATACTGACGTTAAGCAGATGGATCGATAATTGGCAGGATTTTGACATTTCCCTCCTTTGTGTATGGGTTTAACAATCCCCACTTTCCAAACAATCGGGAGCCGCCCAACTTCAAGAAAATAGCGAAGTACCTGGCAAATAGGAGCGGCAATGTAATCGGCCACAGTCTTGAGGAACAGCGGATGCGACCCATCAGGACCCGGCGAGGAGTTGGTATCTAATATATGCAGCTCTGCCGCCCTGGCCATGTACAATACGGAAGACGAGTCACCCGCATCATCGATTTCCCTACCAGCATCTGGGTCTGCTACACCCAAACCAAACCGAAGCCGTACTCTCTCCGCTACGTCGGCCGAGTCATTACCTTCCAGTAAGATGATGTGTCGACCGGAAAGTAAGCGCAAGACGTATGCTGTCGTGGCGTGCGCCACCGCTCCAACAACAACCAGCCTGTGCCCAGCTGAAAGCATGCCCCCACAGAAGTTGGTCTCTAAGCCCAAGGCGAAATCCAACACCTGGAATAACTTCCCTAGTGAAGGGCAATGTGACCTCAACCTTAATCAGTCAAAGCCCAGCCACCAATGCCGCTAAGTTTAACCCCAAATCCGGGGATAAACCTGATTCTAAGCTCTCAGCATCTCAATCTCAAATGAAACTAGTTCTCAGTAGACTTTCTGAGTTAGAGAAAGTGATCAAACATAATCCGTCCTCTCGCAGACCGCAAATCCCTGAGCGCACTTCACCTCGGGACCGTTGCCTCATCATTATGAACGCAGTCAAATCGAACAAAGCCACCCCAACGGAAAGAATTTCGGTTGACCAAGTACTTCTCGAGCGCTTGGTCTCTCTGTTATTTGATGAAGGGGAACAGGGAAGTAACATCGTCTCTGCATTCCGGCTCGGCAGGAAGCAAGAGGATCCACCCAAAGTTCACCCCCTCAAAGTCCTGTGTCAAACGAAAGAGGAATGCCGACGTATTCTGCGACGGACCTCGCGTCTCAAAGGGGAGCCGTATTACGTACTACGTGATCTTTCTCCAGAGGATCGGCTAAAAATGAAAAAAGGCTGTTGAGGAGCTACGAACACACCGAGGAACTAGTGAAACTGACCTCCATATCGTGGATTTTTGCGTGTTTCGGAAGACCCTGAGAGCCCGTTGGGGACCCGTTCCCCTTATCCCGGGACAATAAGGCACATAAATGGACTACGCGTGTTAACCGCCAATGTGCGCAGTCTAAGGAACAAATTGGATGAGATTCAGTTGATTGCCTTAGAGGCCCGTCCAGACCTGATTGCCTTCACTGAAACTTGGCTATTCACCGACATCACGGATTCAGAGGTTTCTATCCCCGGTTACCAACTCCCGATCCGATCGACGAGGAGGGAGGTCCCGGCGGTTGCGTAATGGTCAAAATGCACGTAGTTGAAGCGATCAGTGACAAAGACGAGGAGTTTGATGCCCTCTGGTGTCGTGCTCACGATTGACGGTGTTCTCTCACATTTGGTGTCGTCTACAGAGCGCCTTCAGGATCTGGAGCCTGTTTGATGGACTCCATCAGGAGGCATGGCGCACGAAAGGATTGTCTTGTCGTTGGGGATTTCAATGCTCCTTCTGTTGACTGGAATCTGCTTCTTTGTGACCGACCTAAGGAGTCCTTCGAGGCCAACTTACTGGAGACCACTCTTCATTGTAATTTACTCCAACATGTCACTACGCCAACTCGTATTCCTCCAGATCAGACGCCGCATATCCTGAACCTCGTGCTCTCCCCAGCACAATCAGACATCACGAACCTTTAAGTTCTACAGCCCATTGGCAGCAGTGATCACTGTACTGTCTCATTCCAGTGGACAAGTCACTTCGCTGTTCACAGCCAACGTACCGACCGTCGGAATTTCTGGCGTGCCGATACACTTCGTCTGAAAACAGCCGCAAGCGTTGTCGATTGGAGTATCCCTGAACACCTCAATGTTGACGAAGCGTGGAGTCATTTGTACTCCAAGCTGGCGTTACTCATTGAACAGGCCATCCCCTTCTCCAAAAGGAGACCCCTCTCAAGAGGCCCTCCATGGATCGATCACGAATTGAGATCAATGATGAAAAGAAGGCGTAAACTATGGGATCATTACAGAATTACGCGATTTGAGCTTGACTACTGCTACTACAAAATGGCCATGAATGCTTGCAACATGAAAAAACGCGAGAAACGCCAAAAATACGAGTTGTCATTAGCTGTACTTTCTAGTACAAACTCCAAGGCGCTCTTCTCATACCTCAAACGAAGCACCGAAGCTGGCAGTGGTGTCCCTGCCTTGTCTCCCTATGAGCATTTGGACCTAGT